GAAGGTACCTTCAGTCTCTTTACATTTCCAACATTTGTTATCGGGCAAATGGTAATTTTTTGCAAGCTTGACTGGGGTCATGTACCACCTGTAAATCATTTTCATTATGTTTTCTCTTAAGGCATTACATGCCGTAAACTTAACACCGGTGGTCCATAACTGTTCCCAGTCAGCAAACATAATGTCATGACCAATATCTTGTGCCCATTTAATCATAGCTGATTTCACCGTTTCATCCTGTGTATTCCATTTCAGCAACAAGTTATACATTCTTGATAAATTCTTAGTATTGGGTTCTAACAGTTCAGTCTCTAGTTTTGATTTTTCCACCTGAAAGCCAATTTTCCTGTCCTGTTTGAAAAGCTCCATTATTTGGTGATATTGAAGCCAATTTTGTACTTTATGTTTCAATTTGTCATAACTTTGTAATTTCCACTTATCTCCATCCTGTTCCAAGATTTCCCAATACTTCGGCCATCCGACCTCCATATTGAGTTTCTTTACTGCTTTAGCCTCCACTGGTGACACCCATCTAGGGGTTTTGTTTTCCAAGAGGTCTTTATATCTTATCCATACATTAAACAATGCTTTTCTAACAATATGATTTTTAAAGGCACTATGCAGCTTGATTTTGTCATACCATAGATATGCATGCCAACCAAAAACATTGTTAAAACCTTCCAGATCCAAAATGTCTGTGTTCTCGAGGAGCATCCATTCTTTCAGCCAGCAAAAAGCTGCTGCCTCATAGTACAATTTTAAGTCCGGCAGGGCAAAACCCCCTCTTTCTTTAGCGTCTGTCAATATTTTAAATTTGATTCTGGGCTTTTTGCCCTGCCAGACAAATTTCGAAATATCTTTTTGCCACCTCTTAAAACATTCCATCTTGTCCAGAATCTGCAAGGTCTGAAACAAAAATAACATTCTAGGCAATACATTCATTTTAATCACTGCAATTCGGCCTAAGATTGACAATTTCAAATTTGACCATATTTCTAGATCTTTTTTAATTTCTGACCAACATTTTTCATAATTATCCTTGTACAAATTCATATTTTTAGAGGACCTTCTTCACCGCCTCTATTGCATCTGCAGAAAGCAGCAGCAGGAGACTCTTTTAGGTGGCAGTCTAATAATGGAACCACCTCCACCACTGGGGCCTGGTGAGGACCCCAAGATCTCCTGCAATGATTTTGCAGTTTTTTTTCACATAAAGTCACTCAGATTCGGAAAGAAGTAGACTGTGGTAGCAGGGTCAGGGTAGGACAGTGCTAGAGTCCTGTCTAGTCAAGTTGCATGGGATCAGTTCCAATCTGTTATCTCTGAGGATGTGGACAGGCTGCTTGGATGAGTGAAACTGACTACCTGTTTCCTTGATCCTTGCCCATCCTGGTGATTGGGAGTGGCCACTGAGGCCATATAACACATGTCCTAAAAGAACTACATTGGCTCCCAGTACATTTCCAAGCACAATTCAAAGTTCTGGTGCTGACCTTTAAAGCCCTAAATGGCCTCGGTCCAGTATACCTGAAGGAGCGTTTCCACCCTCATCTTTCAGCCTGGACACCGAGGTCCAGCTCCAAGGGCCTTCTGGCAGTTTTCTCACTGCGAGAAGTTAGGTTACAGGGAACCAGGCAGAGGGCCTTCTCGGTGGCACCCACCATGTTGAACGTCCTTCCATCAGATGTCAAGGAAATAAACCAACTATCTGATGTTTAGAAGACATCTGAAGGCAACCCTGTATCGGGAAATTTTCAGTGTCTAATGTTTTGCAATTTTTATGTGCTGTAAGCTGCCTTGAGTGACGGGGAAACACAGCCAGATGGGTGGGGTATTATTATTATTATTATTATTATTATTATTATTATGTTTAGTAATTATTTCCTCAACTACGGTATGTATTTCAGGTAGCATATAATGCATGTGCATCATGGGTACTGTGACAGTGTCCCATCTGCACAATTTACTCCCCACAGAAAATGTTTTTGAAAACTAATGTTAGCATTTTGGGTGTGTGGCTTGTCTAGGGTGCAAAATAGCCTGGTACTGGCACTGGTCATAGGTGCATATGCTCTCACCATACAGTGTCTAATGTGCACATCCACTTTCACCACTGCTAGAAGGAATCCTCAACAACTGAAGTTTTTAAGCAGTGTTCATAAGATTACAAAAATCATTCAATGGGCAAAATCAATTAAAATCATAATAAAACAGAAAACTTACTTAAAAATGCCTGCTGAAATAGAAATGTTTTTGTCAAGCACATGAAATTCAACAAGGGACTAACTGATAATATAAATGTGCTTGTTTGCTTCCGAATCGTCTTCCATATAATTTTTCTAGTTTAAAACTGGGAAAATAAGAGAAGATTATATTAGCAGTTATGCAGCCTAGCTCTGGCAATGGCTGCTCTCAGTCTTATGAATCACTACCAAAGTTAGGTCTGGTCTGGACATGTAAGTTAAGATCAGAACAAGCCAAGTGTATGAGAAAAGGATGGCAAGCAAAATGTGTGACAAGGAAAGAATTTAGTACCAACTGCTGACTTGAAAGTTTGATGGGAAATATCTTCGAACTAATTTCAGTGTCTTGAATTAACAGCAACCTTAATCATTTCCTTACTGTTGCGGAAGTTTTTTGGAAACTGAACTGCTTGTACAAACAGTAAGGAAATATTGGTGCATCTATGTAGCACAGGGGTCAGCAAACTTTTTCAGCAGTGGGCTGGTCCATTGTCCCTCAGACCTTGGTGGGGGGCCGGACTATATTTTGAAAGAAAAAAAACGAACGAATTCCTATGCCCCACAAATAACCCAGAGAAGCATTTTAAATAAAAGGACACATTCTACTTATGTAAAAACATGCCGATTCCCAGACCGATTCCCAGATTTAGAAGGCGATTGGGCCAGATCCAGACCCCGGGCCTTAGTTTGCCTACCCATGATGTAGCATGATACATGAGTAGGATGGCAAAGCAGCTATTACTTATGCACACGTTTCATGTTTATGGTTTTTCAAGTGTGCAACCACTTACCATTATGATAGCTTTATTTATTTTGGTCTGTGGTTAACTTTTCATTCAAGAACTTTTCATACTGTTTTGCCGGGGTCACCAATATTGTGTTTATGTAAAGTATGCTAATTGTTTGTTGCTGAGAACTTCTCGTGAAATTTGCATAAAGAATTCTTATTACATGGCTTTTGTAAATAAAGCATCCATGGGACATCTGTGATTACATAAAACAAAAATAGATGGGGGACACTGAAAAAATATATATAACTGTGTAGTTTGTAGACTTAAACTTGAACGCACACCAAAGTGTGGATGCTGCTTGCTGGGGCTGCATTGCTTTTAGTGAAATGCACACATTGCACATTGAAGTGCATATTCTGTGGAAAGTTATTCAGTGCAGGTAGATTGCATGGGCACTCAGACACGCAGCATGCCTTTGATGACCTGTGCCACAAACTAGATATAATGAGCACTCATATCGGAGTGCTCTGTAGACTGATAACTGTGGTTTTATATATACTAGCCTTTTGCTCTCTTTCACTCTTGTCTGATGTTTCTAACTCTTCTTTTAGACTTTCTTTGCTTCTTTTGGATTCTTATGGACTTTTATATATATTTTCTGTTTTAACTCATTTTAGTGGTTTTTTTTAAAATAGATTTTAAATGACTGTACCCCTCCCTCCTTATGCTGGTCTGCGACTGTAATAAAGTGTTGATTGGTGATGGATTGATAGTTTAAATTCCCTTTTGAATGTTGGGAAGTTCTTGGAGAAAGTGAACCTGAGAATGCATAGTGTTATGTGCTTACCACCACCAGTGCCGGATTTACGTATAAGCTAAACAAGCTATAGCTTAGGGCCCTACTCTCTTGGGGTCTCCCAAAAAAAATTTAAAGGAGAAAAATCTGGATACTTTTTCTTAATTGTATTTCAGTTCAACAATTACTTTGATAAAATACATATTTTGTTATGTGCAAATGGCTTTAGATACCTGTAAGGTCCATAAATTACCATGTAGCATATATTCAACACAAAAAGCAGTGACAATTTGTTGTTGACAAAGGACAGCTGGACCCATTACCTTCAGTAGCTTAGGGCCTCATCAAACCTAAATCTGGCCTTGACCACTACCATGAGTGGTGAAAATCTTGAGCTTGACTTCCTTTTGGAAGAGTGATTGCTGGAGACATATGGTATTTTGAAATATTTGATTTATCTACAAATATACAGTACATATAGACCATAGAGAGAGGTGGGAAGCTCCCAGTTTTGGGACCAGATGCAGCCTTACATGGCTTTCTTGTTTGACTTGCTAACCTCTCCCTAGTTCCCAGTCTTCTCAGGCCCATTTCCCCCGCTGGTGAACTATCTCCCGCTGATCAGAGGAATGGGGTGGGGATGCGATGGGGGAGGTCATTGGAAGGGCTGCTCAGCTGCTTAGTGGAATCACCTCAGAAGGAAGGAAACAAGGAAATGGCAAAGGCTCTCTGCAGAGCTACCAATGGAGTTAGTCTGGTTTTCCTGTCCCTTCTTCCTCACTAAAGCTTTCTGTGGCCCCAGAAATGTAAGATATGGCATAACAATGTAAGATATGGCATAGAGAACTCCAGAGGCAAGGGGGAATTGATGGGAATCAGAGGGCTACCTTCCATGAGCTCAAGAGCATTCTACTTTCACAAGAGTAGGTTTGGATCCAAACCAATCTTTCCAATGTCCTGTGTTATGTATTTTCTCTCTTCCTCTCTCTCTTTGTAATTTGAAAAATGAAAAAGAAAAGCATATATTTCAAACCTCCCTATCTTGGATTTTTACATGAACTTAAAGCAGTTTTTATTCCCTCCAGCATTGTTTCCATGTCACTGCACAGATCATTAGAACAAGTCAGGTAGAAATATTGACCTTCACGTTCGTTGTCTTGAATTTAAACACATAAATTCTGCAAAATAAAATAAATTCTTCTGTCTTTTTTTCCTTCTGTTTTCATTTAGCACTTTCAGACCATGTTGAAGACTAAGCTAAATGTCTTAACCCTTCGGAAGGAACCTCTCCCCACAGTGATCTTCCATGAGCCAGAAGCCATTGAGCTGTGCACCACAACTCCATTAATGAAAACCCGGTCACATGCTGGATGCAAGGTATCTAATAATTCAAAATCCAGGCAACATGCCTGTTGTGGAAATATTCTGCACCAATAGAGAGACAGTTGAAAAGGGGTGAGAAATTTAAACACCTATAGTATTTAAACAGCAGTATTCAAATATTATTCAAGGTGTTAGATCCAGGCTAAAGTTATGCATAGAATATGCCCATTGAATATCCTAAGTCTTGTTGATTTCATTGGGTTTGCTCTAAGCCTCAGTCTCAGTCTCAGTCAGTTTTATTGCACATAGCCAAAGGCTGCCGCAATGTACACAGAATTATTTGACAATTAAAAGTAAATATACTGAATTGGTAAAAAAAGGCTTAAAACATTTATATTATTAAAACATTACATACTCTAAACAAAGCTATAAAAGTACCCCAATGTACAAATAAAAGCATTAAACAATAAAATTCATAAGCTAAAATCATCACATGGTCACTAATGTTAAAAACAATATCAATTAATACAGTGTGCAATTTATACTCAGAGTTTGGTGACAAAGATAGAGCATAGCCTGAGGTAGATAGATAGGATCAAATAAATTCATCTCCTTTACAGTTAATGGCTACCTTGGCTATATAATTTGCTCTAATTTTCCTGGCAGCAGTTGCAAAAAGTGCTACCCGCCAGGTCACATACTTATCTGTGTCTGCAAGGAGATATAACATCATATCGAGGGGGTTCTGGCCAGGGGACCCTGTCATTATAGGTACCAAAAATCTTTTTCTTGCATCATTATATAACGGACAGTGCAAGATATAATGCATAAGGTCCTCTACTTCAGAACATCCCCTAATGCAAACACGTTCGTTTTTTGGTATGCCTCTATGTCTCCCATCTCTATAAGCAGAGCTTATTGTATTTAGTCGTAGCTCTGTAAAAGCTTTTCGAAGCTGTGCAAAAGTCAATTCATTAAAATAAGATATGTGTTCATTGACCTCTCTAAGTTTAAAATACAATGGGGCGCATGTAGATGTGCACATAGAGTTTAGATCGTTTTTAGTTGCCACTGCCCTTATGGTTCGTTTAAAAATATTTTTCTGTGAATATAAGGGGAGTTCTTTAATGTCAGTCACTGAGAGATCATATTTGCCCATCAGTTGGGCAGCATGATGTACCCAGTTTTTAAGGGGCAATCCATTTGAGAGCTCAATCAGGCATTTTTTTGGTAGCCTAGTGTTGTCCATCTGTTGGACTCTAAACCAGTAACAGAGAATTCTTTTATCTATTTGGCTCTCTATGCTCAACATGCAAGTTTCCAACCTGACCATGGCAGATTGCACGTCTTTGGGTAAACCTAAAAGAACTCTTAAAAAATAATTCTGTGGGGGTTCCAGACCGGAGACCTTTGAGGTACCCCAAACCTCTGCACCATATAAAATCTGGGCCATTGTTTTTGCTTTATACACAGATAGAGCTGGGTTGACCAGATTTCCACCTTTACATGCAGCGAATTTCAGAATGGCTTTTGCTGATTTAAAGGCTTGCAATTTGATATTGGATAGCTGTGTATTCCAAGATGCCGTTTCTGAATAAATCAATCCCAGATATTTAAACGTATTTACTTGGTTTATGATGTGTTCATCCAGGTGCCAAACATGCTTTTTGGAACGCTTCCCAAATACAATGACCTGCGTCTTATCATAGTTTATAGATAAAGCATTCCTCATGCAATATGAATTTAATTTTGCAAGCAGCCGTCTCAGGCCCACCTGGGTTCTAGATACAAGTACTAGGTCATCAGCATACATTAAAACTGAGAGTTTTTGGTCGAGAATTGTGACAGGGGCAAACTGTAGGCCCTCCAGTTCTTTAACCATGTCATTAATATAAAAATTGAACAGGAAAGGTGCCAAAATGCATCCCTGTTTGACTCCAGTGGTGGTCTTAATTCTAGTGGTGAGATGGCCAGCCAGATCCACCTTTACTTGTATTGATGTGTCAGTATATAATGTTTTGATGAGAAATAATAGACGGAGATCTATATTTGTCTTTTCCAATTTTTGCCACAAAGCGTGTCTTGGGACCGTATCAAAAGCTGACTTTAGATCGATAAAAGCAACATATAATTTTTGCTTCAAGTTATGGATGTATTTACATAGCAGAAAGTTCAGCACAAAGCACTGGTCCAATGTGGATTTCCCTCTTTGGAAACCTGCCTGGACTTCAGATATCACCTTATTTGTATCTGCCCATTCTTCTAGTCTCCCAAGAAGGAGCCTGGCATATAGTTTGGAGGCTACATCTAACAAACTAATGGGTCTATAATTGGCAGGGTTTTTCTTATCACCCTTTTTATATATTGGGGCAATTATGCTCAACTTCCACCCTTCAGGTATACGACCTGAGCTGTTAATGTATGAAAACAATTTTGCAAATATGGGTGACCAGAAATCAGGTCTTATTTTATAGATCTCCATTGGGATCATGTCTTCTCCTGGAGCTTTATTAGCTAGTTGGCTTGCGATTAGCCTCTTAATTTGATTGGCCGTGACGTCTGGCCATTCTGGCAGTTCTGATAACTGGGTATAGTAAACTTGTGGGGATAGGTCAGGGCAGGGGCCATATATTTCTGTAAAATATGTCACCCAATCCTTTCCTTGGACAGATGCTTCTAACGAGTAGCCCAGCCCATTTGTGCCTTGGGCAACCAGATGCCAAAATTTCCGTGAGTCCTTCTGAAGTGCTGCATCTCCCAATTCTTTCCACTGTTGTTCATAATATATTTGTTTCTTGCTTTTAAGTAATAATTTATAGTTGTTTCGTAACTGGGCTACCTCAGCTTGTAGGGCAGGATTGTGCTTATCCTGTTTTAACTTCAATTTTCTAAGTACCCTAGCTAGGCATTTTTTGCTATTCTGACATTCCTTATCAAACCAAGTCTGTCTCTTAAACTTTTTGTTTTTTATCACACTAGCTGTGGTCATCAGTGGGCGCATTTGGTTGATTATGTTCTCATAAAGTCCAATTACGTTTCCTGTTTCTAACAACATTTCCCCCTTTAATAAAGCAAATTCATGGGAATCCAGGATCTGAATCATTTTTTCTTGGACCTGTGCATTCCATTTTAACCTTCTATTTCCAAGTATCAGATATTCTGTTTCATCCAATAATTTAGGAAAGGCAGGAGAAAAGAATGATGTCAGAGATAACTCAAGTGGAAAGTGGTCACTTTCAGCTCTGGGAATTATCCTGAAGGTATCTCGGTTAACTGGCACATTATTAGATGTTAGGATATAATCTATGGTGCTAGTAAATCCTCTGGGGGAGGTAAAAGTAAAATAACCCTCTTGATCCCCTTGACCATGCCCATTGCATAACAAAAGGTTATGCTTTATTATAAGTTCACAAAGATGTTTCCCAGCGCGATTAGAGGTGGTGTCCATTGCTGCCCTCTGACAGATTTCAGGTTCATCCTCCAAGTTTAGACCAGATAATATTGAATTTTGTGGGGAAACAAGGCCGATCCGGGCATTGAAGTCACCTCCCAAGATAAACCGAGGGTTAGGTGACAGAGAGTCAATACTTTCGAGTAGTTGGTCAAGTTTATCCCAATATGATCTCAGTTCCCCACAAGACTTTACTGGAGGTATATACACACATATGCAATAAGTATTTCTCAGGAGACTATCAGAAAGGGACAACACTAAAAAATTTGGGGTGGTCAGCAAGGGACACTGTTGAATTGATACATTAAGAGAGGTTGGCACCAGCACCGCCAGCCCCCCACTAGGCCTTCCATACTTTACAGTTTTAAGAGCTGGTTGAGTGTAACTTGTAAAACCCTGTAATTCAACCATAGTGCCCTCTTTTGCCCAGGTTTCTTGAAGAAAGATGATATCATGTGTTTGTAGATAAGAACAGAAGTCACTGTCTTGGATCTTGTTCGTCCACCCTGTTACATTCCATGAGAGAAGTTTAATCTGTTGGCAGCTCTGCAAATCTGTTCTGGAGGGCCCTTGTACCTTTTGGAACAGATTCAGAGGTTTATATGGGAAATGGTCAAATAATGCTTCTCTCTTAGTTCTGTTGATGCAAGCCTTATTGTCAGCTGAGTGACATGTTTGGCTACAACCCTTAGCTGTATAAGCCAGTTTCTTGCCCCAATTTTTATCCTTTATCCTAACAAATTTCATTTGGTTGGATCCTTACATTTGGGGTCTCACTCATGGAATGAAGGGGAATCTGTAGCTCAGTAGGTGAGACTGTTTGTAGCTGTGTGGTAGAGTACATGCTTTGCATGCAAATAATCCCAAATTCAGTTCACAGCATCTCCAGGCAGGGCTGTGAAAAAAACCTTCTTTCTGAAACCTTGGTGAACTGTTGGCAGTCTGACCAATGGTCTGGCTATGTACAAGGCATCTTATATCCTATGAGAGGAAATTTTTACCACTTGCCCCTGCAGCCTCTTCCTCCACAAACATCTGCTCTGGAGAACTGGGGACCCTCCAGAACAGAATGGGAGGTGGCACAAAAATTGCAGGGTGACGGGAAAGCTCTCTTTTCTTTGTGAAGAAGTGTATTGGATATAAGCCACTAACTTGAGTCACCGTTTTATTATTGTGTCTTTACTTTCTCTGTCAAAAATAATTTAAAAATCTCACGTATTAATGGGAAAAACAATTTATGTGTTTATACAGTCAGCTCTGTTTATAATATTTAACTCTCCGGAGACAATGTAGCTGTGGGAATAGGATCAAGAATTTGTTGAGACTTGTACCGTCTTAGCAAAAAAGGGCTCTTACGCATTAGCATGTTTGCAGAGTCAAACATACAGTAAAATGTATTGTATCTTCTGCTATTGAACTTGAATTCCACATTAGCATTCTTCATAATCCACACCCACTTCAGCTGACCACACCCACTTCCTGGCATTTGGCCCGTAGGAAGTTGTCCAAGGCTGAAAGCAGCCCACAGACCCAAAAAGTTAGCCACTTCTACCCCTAGGAAGTCTTGGATTATTAACCTTTCCTTCTGGGTCCTTGAATTCTG